GATAAATCAATTATATCCTGGCTAATTGGAATAGTAAAATTTTACTTATTCCTAATTAGCCAGGATATAACTAATACTTATTACTATATCTTTTATATTTAGATTTAAAAAAATCCAAAATGGGTTACTATAGTTTCAAATAATAAAGGATATTATTTAATATAGAATTAATGATTATTATAGGTTATTGAAAGGAATAGTATAATATAAGTCCTCATAGATGGTTATTTTTAGAAATAGGTAAAGTAAAAATTACTATAGATTCTCATCATTCTCAGGTATGAATAAATATCTGTTTTTTTTTTGTGTATAATTTAGTAATTAATGCATATGAAATAAAATAAGAAAAAGATATCAAAGTTCTTTCAGGTACTCATGTATCTCATCTTGAACCATATCATATAAATTTGATATACTATTAATTATTCCTAATTTTCCTTTTTCGAATCGAAAGATGTTAATTTTCTAAAAAAAAAATTTGACTAAATAATTACCTTTATCATGAGTTTACTTGGCCTGAAATTGAAGAGAATACTGGATATATATGTACTTGTGCACCGTTAGAGTTTGGTACTTTGAATAAAATTTCTCCTAGTCAAATTGATAAAATTTCAAAATCATGCACCTTTGAAAAACCAATCCATAACTATACAATACATACACGACCTTTAAAATTATGGACTATACCATTGATGTCTAGAAAAGGTATTTTTTTCAATAAAATTGTTCTGTAATTGTTTTGTATTAATAAATATCATGCTTTCAGAAAATATTCAAGAAGATCAAGTTATTCTGGAAGTAAGGAAAATGAAACAAATTCATGTTTTTTTTCATCAGGACACGTGGTAAATAGTTGTAAACAGGTTGAAGAAGAACAAACTGGAGATATGGATATTGATCCAATATCAAAAAGGTATGTTGAAACTTTTTATTATTCGTCTTGTATGTTTTGTATAAAGTATTATGAATTTATTCATATTTTTTATTTGTAGTGCCATTATATTTGTTTGTGGATGCGCTTTATCTGAAAATTTCAAAAAGTACCAACCAAACGAATCACAGAGCATGTCAAGGAATTACTTATTATAATGTTTCACTCTGGTACTGCTAATCCTAGGCTAAAGATGAATGCTAATGAAATGCATGAGGAACTTCTGAAAAGCGTTACTGATAACGAAATTTCCAAAGATGACGTACCAAAAGTTCCCACAATTACGAATTGAATAACAATCATGTTACGATCATTCAAGAAACCATGGCACTACGGCTTTGAAGATGCAGAGTCACATGAACGATAAAGATTATATTCAATATGTCAAAAAAATTAGATAGTGCTTTTTTATTATACTATAATTTGTATCCTGATCCAATATAAAACAATCTATAAAACAAAAAAAAAAAAATTAAAATCTAAACTAATAATCTAAATTAAAAAAAAAATAAGATTGACGTAATATCTCCTCAAATTCCATTAACAAATTCAATACGGGACAAATTGTTACTAAAAGATAAAGGAAAAGTCAATAAAAGAAACAAAATCTATAGAAAAAAAAAGATCTCATTTCGAATAATTACCATAATCCAAGAACAAAAAAATAAATTCCTTTTTTAATCCATAAAAAAGAAGAAAACCAGGAGAATTGTTCCTAAAAGATAAAGAAAAAAAGTAAATAAAAGAAACAAAATCGAAATAACATCCCACTTCCGAATTAAAAAAACACATTCCATAATGAAAGAGAAAACCAGGAGAATTGTTCTTAAAAGATAGAGAAAAATGAACAAAATTGAAACAAAACAAAAAAGTATTCCACTTCCAAATCAATAAAGAAAGTAAAAACTGGGCGAATTGTTCCTAGATAGAAAAAAAAGTAAATAAAAGAAACAAAATCAGAAAAACAGAACCATTTCCGAATCCCACAAAAAATTACCGTGAAATCCAATAAAAAAAGGTTCAATTCTCCTCCAATCCATAAACCAAACCAATTGAGAGCGATGAACTATTTCTAAAGATAAAAAATCAATAAAAATAAAAAAATAAAAATAAAAAAAAAACTAGATAAAAAGGAAAATTCCCATCTTCGAACGTTAGAATAATATTTACCACAAAATCGAACAAAATTCAATAATCAATAAAGGAAGTGAAACAACACGAAAGGACGAACTGTTCCTAAAAGATACAACAAATCAATTCAATAGAAAGGAAAAAAAAAAATAAAACGAGAAAAAAAATCTCATCGATCCATACTGATAAAGAAATTTACCATGACATAAATCAAATAAAAGAGAAATAAATCTGACTTCTGAATATATAAACCGCTCCTAAAGATGAAAATAATTCAATAAAAAGAAAAAAAAATAACCGTAATCTCTAAAAAATTAGGAATTTCTACGAAACCTTAAATCTAGGTGAAAAATAGAATCGCAATGACAAGAAGTTATATTACTTTTATTATGGAAAATCGCTAACCGTAAATTTATAATACTGTATAATTTTCTTGGATTCTAGCGTTCGTACATAGTAAAGTCGTTTAAAATACAACAAACGACTGTTCTACAATGATTTATTCGAATTCTCTGACATTTTTTGCATTAGATCATATGGTTTTGTGCAAAAAAAAATAGTTTGGTTAACTTACCATTTGAAGCTTTGTGCTATTCTGGTGTTCAATAAGGAGATGGGCGAAATTTTGCAAATAATTGTTCCGAGTAAATTAAAAAAATTGTTAGTTAAAAATATGGGATATTACATTTTACTAGACCTTTTGGCGGTGTGTGTGTTATTTTCAGCCAAGTAGTATAATAATTTTTTACCAGAAAATACAGTACATTGTCATGATCTTAAAAAGTAATTTTCGAAGAAGTTCCTGGATGTACTTTCTTAGGAGCAGTGTCGTTAATTTTCATAATTTTATTTATCAATAACGATTGTTGTAAATTATTTGCTTTCATGTTCTTAATTTCCTTTTAGATTTAATAAAATCATATCATTAAAATCAATCTTTTTTCTTTGCTAAATTATTTTAAAGTAATAAGATTATGATTTTACAAAAAATCAATTATATTCTTGGCCTTGGAATAGGAATCGATCCTATTAATCGAATTAATCTAAAATCAAATAAAAAAAATCCGTATAACAGTAAGTGCGTGCGGCTATGAATTAATTAGGCTTGAGGAAAAAAATATAACAAATTTTTATGTATTACATACATTGAGGATACTATCCACATAGAAAGTTACAGTAGAAAGAAAGTTCTTCAACCATCAAGTAAAAAAATCTAGAAGCCGAAATAAAATAAAAAATACATGACCAAAAATACATTATTATATAATATTTAAAATAATAATAAAAAAAGCATATTTTAATTAGGAATACCTTTAACTTTTTCGAAACGACTCAACAGTAAAAGTTATAAAAATTAGGTAAAAAAAAAAGCTGCGATTGAACCCCAAACATAACAAAATGATCAAAAGGATAAAATAACAAAAAAACGCAATCAGCGATCGAACCCAAAAGTAAAAAAAATAATTAAAAACATAACTAATACAATACTCCCTCAATTCTTTCTGAATGATACAATTTGAAAGTTGAAAGTAAATCCTACAAAATTATAATAAAGACCAACAATATTTAACAAATTAAATTCAAAAAATAATATTCGATCGTGTCTTTAACAACAGACCAAAAATTCTGTAATTTTAAATTGAATAGTAAAGAATAATATATTATGTATAAACTGAAAAATTTGATAAAATAAAATCATAGATGATTTAACAGCAATGAAAGAACTTATTTTAAAAAACAAAACAATCGCTAAATTGATACAGCGATATGCTGTAAATATGAATTATCTTAGTATATTAGAATTTACTACACTTTATGAAATAATCTATTTTTTAAACTTTGCTACATACTATCATATAAGCAGTTCAAACCACATTATGACCGCGATTATATTATATTTTGATATGCCGTAATATTAAAAATATGTAGACACTACACTGCATGTTTTTATTAATAATAAAATAATAAAACAGTTTAAAGGAGGTAGTTGGCAATAAATACTCTAGGTTAAAACAATTTTACGTCAGATCAAATCCTATAATTTTTTTTGATTAAGCAAGTAATAATTTAACCTTCCCGGTCCGGGTCAAAGGTAAAAGAATTATTCCTAAAATAGTTTTTTGGAAAGATTTAGTCGTTTTTTGTTTGGTATAAATCAAATACTTGGTCATAAGAAATTTTTTATGTCTACTTCACGCTAAACTTCATTCTTGTTATTGCTTTCATTATAATGGGCAAAATTATTTTCTATCTTTTACATATTTAAATCCCTCATAGAAAAAGTACTACAAAAGAAAAATCTCATTAATTTAATAAAATTCAACTATTCTTTAAAATAATATCTTGAAATAATTTACCTTTGAAGAAGATCATTACAATTAAAATGATATAACAATAATCATTAATGTGCAAAGTATCATATTGCACATGTTTTGCCTTTGGACGCGTAATACGGACGTTTGGCCGTATTCAAATCCGTTTTTATATGAAGCCATCTAAAATCTAAAATAAAGTAATAAGTTTAGCAGTATGATCTAAAATAATGTTTGTTTCCAAACCTTATATACCTATATGCAAAACGTAAAAATACATACAATGTCAAAAGTATTTGAAAGATGACGTATTCGCCGTCTCCTTGTGCTGTTGGTGAACTGATCCATTGCGGCACACTGACTATTCCTTTTGGTTGCCGAGTGAGCACCCCATCTATTTCCCTTACTATCCCAGAAATTAAAATCATACAACTAAAAACGTGTATAGCATATTACATATGTTTTGCCATTATACGAGACATTTGTCCGTATTGCCAATTAAATTGAAAAAATTTGAAAGCCCAAGTTTGAGACCTTTTATCTAAATCAATGATTTCAACTTTATATATTGTATATTCTATACATGAAAAGATTATATACATACGGTAGAGAAAATGGAGATAATAAAGTTAAAAAATAAAAATAATTTGGATAAAAATGTTGAGCAAAATATTTGGGACCTTTGTCAAAGGTCCCATTTTTTTTTTTTGGAGAAAAAAAGATAATTTTTTTTTTGTTTACAAGATAATTTTTTGTTTGTTTATATACGATTTGTTAAATTATCATGTGGTCTTACGAATAGGTTTAGCTCACAAAGAAATGGTATTGTATAAAATTACCATAAAAGGTTATAAAAAGTTTATGTATACTATACAACAAAGGTTAAAAGGTGCAATCACATGATATCGACCAGAATAATTGCGTAATGTAATTCTTTATATCATCCAATCTCCCAAAATAACTCGAAATCCTTGATTTATATTTACAAATCTACATATTAACATTATCTTTATTCGATTCATGACATAACATAATAATGCGTAACTTGTTAAATTCAGAAATGAAAATTAGTTAAATTAAATTTTTTTCAACTTGCATATTAATCAAAAATGATACATGAGAAACAAATTAATTTACCATAAAAAAATTTCTGTGAATGAATTAATATGTATGATCCTTTGAAATAAAGAATGAATTTTGTGTACAATGATTTGTTTTATTTTATGATAAGATTTATTGAACAACTAGTCAACCGTGATTTGAAATATTTGAATTCGAAAAGAGTGAAAGAATAAAATTTTAAAAAATATCTGATGTAATAGCATAGGTATAGGAATTAACATCAAGCTATAAACTTTCTGATAATTGTAAACTTATTACCGTCTGAAGTTACCAAAATAATCCTAAATATAAGCTAATTTAATGAAAAATTTTGTGATCTTGATCCTTTAAAAGACCTTTGATAGCGGAAATTTGTAAAATGATTGAATGAAATCAATATACAAAAAAAATTAACGCAATGTGGAATAAAAGAATCTTTTGTTATATTGCTGCTTCATGACGTTCCAAAATAAAAAAAAGATGTACGTGACGAAAAACATAAAGAAAAAATATATGCTTTAGAAAAGTCGAGCAGTGCGTAATTGTATACTGATAACCTATTTCCAAAAAAGCAATAAATAATGAAAAATGGATTTCTTCTCTGGCTTCCTATAAGAAAATTGAAAAAAAATAATTGATTTGGTTAAAAGTTCTGAACAATTCAAAATTTAGTCAAAACTCACCAATATTTGTAAAATATTCATATTATATAGATGAATCCGTGGAGAATGCAGTGAAAGGTGAAAGTAGCAGCAGTAAAAATGTCATTATATTGAATGATTTTTTGTTAATATATATTTGTTGAAAAATATGTAATCTTGGCATACTCCAAAGTTCAGGGCGAAATAAGTAAAGAC